TTAATTAAATTGAGCAAATGTTATAACATACAAAAAAGTTCTATAATGTCCTTATCCTTGGAATTACATCCAATGGTGAACATCTCATTAGCCATATTATCTCTAAACTGAGTCCAAAAATCAGACGGTTCAACATGCGTAATCAAATCTTAATATTCAAATCCATCTGGTTAGCTAATACTTCAACCACATCACCTTCAACAAAGTCAATTACCATCTCAAACCTAATAGAATTATGGAGAAGACAACAAAAAAAAATGATTATGCACTTTGTCTTTATTGAATAAAATGAATTTTCCCTTAAAATTGCCCATTTAGCTTTCAATATATCAAAACATCTTTTGAGACAATTTCTTACTTGAGAGTGTTTTATATTGAAATATTCTTACAAAGTCGTCGGTTAGAGTCCTGCCTTCCAATCACTAAGATGGTATCTTTAACCTCTATAAAATGCCAATAAACTTTTCTCATTTATGTATCCAGCATCACACAAATAGTAATTACCTATTATAATGGAATAACATTAATAAATAGAAAAAAGGTGTTTCATTATAAACCTAAAACAAACAAAATAAGGATAATACCTTATGGAATCTCAACCCATTCCTGCATGTAATGACATCCCTTAGCACTTTGTCATTTCTTACGGAACCTTTCCATTTCGGTATAATATATATGAATTGCATATCTGGGGTGCAAACACTAAGGATATTAGTAGCAATTTCAATTTTTTCTAATTCTATTTCTAGGCCTGTCAATTGCCTCTACATTAACCTTGATGTATGTCCCATCTAAGGCATCCAAATAACCCTTGAATTATTTTAATCTATTATCTTTTGAATTATTCGATATCAATTATGATTTTTTAAATAATAGCATATGCAATCTTAAAACATAATTAACACAGAATAAAATTGCCTACTAATTGTCTCTCTAGATCTAGTTACTTCACATTTCATAACACTTTTTTATATGATGGGTATTGATGTGGAGGAATCTAATATCTAGTTCCTTATTGACATATGCCTAAATGCTTGCAATCCCCATTTTGTTCGAAACAAATGACATAATTTTGTAAAAACTCTCCTATCTATTCTAGTATTATCTATACACTATCTATTGCTCTAAAAAATCATTATATTTAAATTTAATTCTCTAATATGTAGCTTATCATAAGATGTTTCATCATAAGATAGTCTACATCATTTTCTAAGGTTCATATATAGTAAAGTCACAGCAACAAAATATAACACATGCAACAAAGTCTCTATCTAGTTCAAATGCATCATAAGCAATGTAACTTATTGCATCTTTATTTTTATTGATAAATGAGCCATAACTGTTTAGAAGATAAAATCTCATTAAAGTTGAAAACAAAATTGGAAAACAAATATTTACATATGGTACATGGAATCTATCAAACATCAATATATATATATATATATATAAATCAGCAACAAAATATTTATGGATGAATGAGCTAAAACCAAAATGAATAACACATTTGATATATCAATATAGTTTCAATCTAGATCTAAATGACATCTAAAAAGATGAAAAAAATATTGGAATGCAACAAATAATGCAAAATAGATAATTAGGTATTAGATAGTATATACACTATTTTTTGAAAAAAATGAAGATAAACTTGACAGGACGAAAATTAAATGATGGATGTTTAAGCTAAAGTTGATTCAAATAGAAAGGTATTTGCTTTGAACTCAAATATATTGAAATAAAAATAAAAAATGTATTGGTTATTGAAACGTGATGAAGACATCAATTAAGGCATTTCATATGCAAAAATGCCTTATTTGATGTATTAAATATAGGTTCTTCTGAATTTGATTAAATATTACAACATTCATATTATTATAATACAGTCTTTGAGAAGAGAAACATAATTTTAATGTGTGACAATTACAATGTTTGAAAGAAGAAAATCCTTAATTGAAAGGCTAAGTTAAATTTTAATATTTCTCATTTATGACGTTTCTAGGAAGAAACGCCTTAATTAATAATCAATTAAGGCATTTTTTCAACATGAACATCCTAATAGCCACTTGAATATTTATAAAATTGTGATTGAAAAGCAATCATTTTATAACACAGTATTCGAGATCCAAAACAAAATTTTAATATGTGACAATATTAATTAAGATGTTTCTTCCTTAAAACGCTTTAATTGTCACATATTAAAATTGAAATTAAAAAAAAAGATAATTTAAAAAAAAAAACCTAAAATTGAGTTCCAAACTTGTTTTTAAAAAGGTAATGGATATGTGATCAATTTTTTATTTAGGTCAAATTTGAAAATAAATAATTTTTTATCATAAAATTTTAAAATACCACAGGAAAGTAGACTTTTGATTCTGAAATTTTGGGTATTGTTGAGAATATAATATTTTTTCTCATAATTGAATTATTTTGAATTAAACCGTGGAAAACAAATATCTATTATCAAAATTAAAGAAAATTTGTGAATTTCCCCGACCAAACACACTCTTTTGCTCTGGCTACTGACAAATATTGGTAGTGGAATCATACCAAGAAGATGACACGTTTATATTATTCATAAATGGTGCTGCTTGTTCGAGCTGACAGCTGAGGAAAAGGGAGTCGACTGGTTTTAGTTTCCCACAGGACTTGTTCCGGCGAAGACTCTCTGATAGTTAGTTTCCTTGATTGGGGCTGTCACTAATTGCGGCTAAAATCTTTGCTTTGCCATTATTTGGTAGACACAAAAAAAAAAAGGACGACTTTTGTTTAGACAACATTTCTAAAGTCTGTCAGCGTTTTGAGGTATTATAATACTATCATGGCTGGCCAAAGGAGGTCGGCAGGGATTACTTTTTGATTTTGAGGAAAGAGATTCAAACCTGATTTTTTGAATAAAAAGTTTTATGTACTTGTATTAAGTCAAGTATTCAAATGCGTTGGTATAATGTGTTATTTACTTTGCAAGTCCATCTTTTTCATCTTAAAAATGTCCATTTGACCTAAGGTTGATCGAGGAAAGAAAGATCAATCTATCATCATAAAAGTCATGGAAAAAAATGGTACTCATCTTTCTCGCCGAAAGAGTATTTTCTTAAAAGAAGTCAATAAATAACACCAATACAACTAGTTTAAAGGTGACAAAAGTTTTCAAAAAAACTTATTAAATGAGGTCACATTCAAATGATATGATTAAAAAATCAATAATTTAAATCAATTGAATACGAATCTGAATTATTCAAATATAAATTAATTCATATTCTAAATAATTCGATCTCGAATGATTTGAAATATTTATTTAAAATGAATCAAAATTAAATTGAGCAAATACGTAATCCATTTATGAACGATAGTAAAGAATAAAAAAGACCATCTACAAGTGTGCATACCTGTCTTGTGACTGAATAAGAACTACTAACCAGAAACCAGTTGTAGTCATCATTGTAAAAATTGTGAAATGTACAAAAGAAATCCCCTAATGAGTGACAATGTTTTAAAATTTTCTGATTGAATTATAGAGCATTGCAAAGACGTTATAGATGTAGTACTGCCATTGCCTTAATCATGAAAGAAGACGCATCTAATTCATGACACATGTGATTCTTAGTAATATGGTTCCAATACATCATACGTAGTGAAGAAATCCAACATCTGACCAAATATTTTGAATATTTCAATCCCAAATATAAGTTCCTGTTAGCAACAAAAGCAAGTTCCAGTCCATTGGAACATCTCAGTTCACATACGACATAAGATAATCATAATAATCTTACTCTTAGACCATGCAAACATAGTCGTATCATACATAATCATAATAATCCTAGGCCAAGACATTTAAATTATAAATTCTACATGTTTAGTCCAAGGAAACAATTTAAAATTTTCCATATCCAAATTTATTCAATCCTCAATATTAAAATCTTCTGATGATGCCATCGACAAAGTGCTTATACTTTTAGTTAGATGTATTTTATGTATATTTTACCATCTGAATTATCATTACCACCCACACTTAAATTTGTAATTTTAGTTTTTAAATACTTTTTTAAGGTAACATTTGATATCATTTTTAAAATTATTGTAGCGATCTAATTATTATGGTGATAAGATACCAAAGTAATTTAAGCACTAATGATTTTAGATTAATATGTTTGATGCAATATTATAAATCACTATTAATTTTAAATCAGTGTGCTTCATATTATATGAAAAATAAATTATAAAATATAAAATATTTAAAATAATCTTACAAAAAATTTAAATATTTATAAATCAACAATTTGTAAAATATTTAAATGTTATTTTATAAAAAACTATAAAGTATAAATCAATTTTGATTAAAATAATTTCTTTAAAAAATTGAATAAACTCATTTTAATTTTTAATCAATAAACATTTATTCAATTATAACAAAAAAATTTTTAAATAAGTGATTAGAAAATTTGATTTTTTAAAAAAATTTTTACTGGCCAACTTTTTGAATCAATGTTACTAAACTTTTGTCAAGGTAAATTAGTCAAAAATAATATTAAAAATTATTTTTTCATGATGATAAAATTTTCTCATTTTTTAAGATGAGAATCAAATCGTTTCCTAAAACTTCTAAATTGCTATAAAATAAAATGATATAATTACTAAGTGTAAATCATTATAACTTTTACACTGAATATCCCATATCAAACACTCAATTTTTTGAGTTGGTCAACAATACTTATTGACTTCTTGTCAAAATCAACATCAAAACTTTTCAAAGAAAATTTGATGAATTTCAAGTTGAAGGTGGAATCAGGTGAACGTAAAAGCCAACACCATGCAAAGTTCATCTCAATAATTGTTAAATTTTCCTTGCATTGCTTCATTTCTTTCAAACATCTATGCAAACTTGGTATGTTTAACAAAAGATTGGAAAAATTTTGCACGCATTGTGAAAATAAAAGTTGACAGTAGGATAATTTGTTCCAAAAGATAATAGTAATGTCATAAAAAAGTGTAGACGTAGATGTTATGATTAGATACACAGGCTAGATCAGGTTAATTGATTCATGCTAAATCAAGTTTGAATTACGAACTTTCAAAATCATAACTATTTTCAATAGTTAACCTTCCGATTCAAATCATGTTGATTTTCGAACAAACTAAACATGTCTTTCTAGCTCGGATCATTTCTGCTACTGTCAATTTTACTTCCTAGCATTTCTTCTGGACCCGATTCAGCTTTTATAGTACCCATTCTTCGTTGGCCCCAACAAAAGGAGCAGCAGAAGGGCACAAATTGACAGAAAAACAATGCAAAAAGTTTAAAGTTGAAGGAGGTGAGGTAGTATTATATATCTTTTTCTCTGTAAGATGGTTTATAGAAGCAAAAATTCTTTGCATCTCTAACTTTCAAAACCTTGTAGCTTCTATCGGCATCTCTATGCATTTTGATGAGCCCAAAAGTCGAAAACCAAGGGGGAAGAGGACTCTTTTTATGTGTATATCAGTTGTAAAGGAAACTAGCCACCTAGTAGTGCGAAAAAAGAATTGGCTATACAATTATTCACAAACTAACATCTATACATCTTCGGAAAAGAAGAGAAACCTCTCATTGATGTGTGGTAGAGCAGAATGAAGTTGGTGTCTCAGTTTTGATCACGCGGGTGTTATACGATCCGCAGTATCCACACTTGTGATATAACCAATGGAAGCGAGCTGTGCCCTTTTGATCACAATCGTTGCAGAGAATATCCTGGATTGCATATGCACTTGATGTGAGCAAATTATGATTATATTCAGCAAAACCAAGCATTGGTAAGACCCAATTCATTTATAAACAACCATTATAAGCGGTGCAAGCCATAAAGTGAATGGGAGGGTTTCATGGAAAAGTTGACTTACACTTCCACTTTCACTTTAAACTTTTTCAATTATCTTCCCACATTAATAATTGCAAATAGTTTTCACAAGAAATTCATCAGATTACATGAACCCCTGCTTCTATCCCACTTCCAAATCAGATAAAGTTTGTCCCTTTAGGTAAGAAGCAAATATACCTGAAACCGATCCCTATATTCTTCTGGAAGCTCCTCAGCAGCCAACAATGCATCAAGCATGCCAAAGTAAACCTGAAAGAAGAACAACAGAAAATGATTACATAATTGTGCTTCACAGAGACGACTTTGAAGTTCATCATAACAGGACAACTATTTCCCTCATCTGGGAACTGACGTAACAGGAGAAACAGTGCAAAGCAGTATTAGGATTGCAGCATTTGGATCCTTTTAAGTGGAAAAAAGGAACTTAAGGAATTTGGATTTTAGATCTAGCTTTTAACTGCTTTGAGTAGAACTCAAAAAATAACATTTCATGATTTATGATTTCATTCAAATCCATGAATTCCTACTATCATATCCAAAATATGGATTTAAAAAACCGGATGAAAGAAGTCACTTCCCATCATTCTGCAATTATATTTCATGTTCAATGTTTTTTTTTAACATTTACTGATATTATAGATTGCTATGTTCACTCCACAACTTTGCACAATTAAGTCCAATGTACTGTTGCAAAGCCTTCTATTCAAATGTAACTTCTTGAACTTTTTTGTTTTTCTGAATCCCTCAATACCTATGTTACTGCGACTCTTCATTTTCCTTAAAATACCCATGTCCACACATTCTATGGATGTGGGTATAGAGGTCTGACCCTCCAAACATATGGAAAAACTTTAAAAAAATAAGCATAACCATGTCAAACACATACCAGTAGGTCATATCAAACACTCATATGAGAAACACGAAAAGGTAGAACCTACTAAAAGTAATAGAAAAGTAGGGTGTAAGAAAGTTCTTTTACCGCCATATCTCCCAAGGATTTACTGCAAATTGGACAGGTGTAATGACTGCAAGTATATGCCTAACAGAGCAGATGGTGTGAGGTTAGCATATAACCAATGATCCAATGATTCTTATAGAATAATTACACAGAATCAAGAAGGAAAATGGGTATTGAAATATGAGCATACAAAAGCCACGAACCTGAAAACAAGCTGAATGCATGTAATGACCGCAAGGTAGAGCTCTGACTGTTGCACTTGATGTGAACAAAAAATCACAACAGATAGGGCAGTTGGTTTCTAAACCTTTCTCCAGGCACTTGTGGTTCACTAACTTTATCCCAAGGCAACAATTGCATGTCATGCAATGAAAATAATCAATCCCAAGTCCTCTCCCAACACGGCATAGATTGCAAAATGGACAATGATACACATTCCTGCAGCAGAAAAATTATTAGGATAGATCAACGAGAAGCTCTATGTCTTCCACTAAAAATTAAAACATGCAGCCATTCTTTAGCATTTCCAAATTAACGAAGGCAGAAGGGAAAGTCATGGTACAAGTGCTAATTATCATTCAGGTGACAACCTAGAAATGAAAAGAACCATTTTTCCAATTTTCTCTTTATATTCTCCTACTATCAGGATGTAAGTGCAATGCAGAGGTCCTTTACATTTTATAGGTAGGAGGAAAAAGTAAAGGAAGAAACAGTGGAAGGAAAAAGAAGCAATATAGAACAATTTACTAGTTGGCTGAAGAGAAAATGAAGAGGGAAACAGGAAGGAACTTGCATCTTTCCAGACTTACAAAATCAATCCTTCCCCACATTGAAGGAAAACAAGATTAAAAGAACCATAAACAGATTTATTCTTCCATTTTTTCTCAGATATTTTCACGGTGCTTCATTTTTCTTGTTCAACCAACCAATTTCTTTCTTTCCTATCATTTTTTTCATCCTATTTTTGTTGTCATTGTAGTTGTTGTATATTTAGCTTAGTTATCTCACACGAGGACCAAAACTGAAAAGAAAGATGACCAACAATGTGTTGATCATCTTTATTTTTCTTGTTCAAACAACCAATTTCTTTCTTGCCTATCCTATTTTCCTCCTATTTTTGTTGTCATTATAGTTGTATATTTAGCTTAGCTATCTCACACAACAAGGACCAAAACTGAAAAGGAAGATGATCAACAATATGTTGATCATCTTCTATTTTCAGTTTTCCCATTTGAATTGTCCCAACTGAAATTTAATCACAGAAAACAGTCAAACCTGTCGAAAACTTAAACTTTTCCATATCACCCTTTTCCGTTTAATGCTGGAGCCCACAAACTAGACATTTAAACCTAACATATAATGTACTTCCTTATATTGACTTCTTAAAATTGGAAAAAGTCAATATCTGGAAAAATAAACAGGACAGCTGAAGTGCTCTAAGAGCCACAAAAAGATGTGCAAGTGCCATCTAATAAATGGATGTAAACAATAGCCAAAAAAGATGTAAAGCATATCATAGAGCAAAGTAAACTAAAATTTAGATTATTTATAAATTACTAACTCCAAAAAAAATTGTAAAAGCAGTATGAAAATATGACTTAAAAAGATAAAAAGTTTTTTAAGGCCGCAATGCCACTATAACACTGCCCAACATTTAGGATTTTCCTAAATTTATCTGTCATTGGAGACACAGGTGTCAATGCCCATGATTTCATGTATTAAGCAACTGAGAATTGTTATAATGAGTACAGCTGGTGATGGATCATATCATAGAGCAAAGTAAACTAAAATTTAGATTATTTATAAATTACTAACTCCGAAAATATGACTTAAAAAGATAAAAAGTTTTTTAAGGCTGCAATGCCACTATAACACTGCCCAACATTTAGGATTTTCCTAAATTTATCTGTCACTGGAGACACAGGTGTCAATGCCCATGATTTCATGTATTAAGCAACTGAGAATTGTTATAATGAGTACAGCTGGTGATGGATCATCAAAATGGATAGTAAAGATATGTCATAAACTCATAAATAAGGTTTTCTGAGAGCTTCAACAAGGGGTTAAAAAAGCCTGCACATCTTCAAATAGGATAAATGTGGTGTACAACAATTTAAATCAAGCTTTCAGGGTAATCTTAGGGTCAACAGGTCGAATAAATAAGATGATCAAAAGAGCTAAAATTAAATTCAGATGGAAATCATGTTGTTGCTGCAAGATGAAAATTGCCAAGAAGAACACATACCTTTCATCATCAAAAAACTTGCATATATTACAATAATACTTAGCCATTGACAGTTCATTGCAGGAAGGTGTAATGCATATTGGCCCAACAGGTTGACTCTTGAGGCAAACCATGCACATCATTTCCAAGGTTGCTTTTCTGAAATGATAGAGAAAAAAATCATATGCACAGAACTCCAACCTTAAATGCAAGAAATAATATAAGAACTTACCTATCCATTGAGTGATCGCTCACTTTGTCATGGCAAAACCTGCAGGTAAACAACTTGCCACAGCAAGCAGCACGGAGTTTGCAGTTTCTTTTGTAGTGCTCACACCCAAATATTTGTTTTTCTGGATCTCTAAATGATGGAAAGCATCCCAATACATCTTCACCATTAGAAGTTTCACCGGATGCTGCATGGGGCAACTTTTGCTGAGCAGCTATCCAACGACTAGAATAAACAATTTACTGATTGATTAATGAGGACCCGTGGAAAATTAACAAAGAACCAATATTGAACCAAAAAACAAATAAGAGACGATAAGGAACACATGATATAATGCCAATTATCATTAGAAATTAAATATAGATAAAGCAGACTGCTATCATGGAACTAACCTAGTTAAAAGATTTTGAACAAGATATGCTTTTCTCCTTGGATCAAGAGTTGAGTCCCGATAAACCTTCCTGATCTCTGACTCAAGCTCATTTTGATTCATTCGAAAAATATCTTTCCACCCAGGCTTAAACATTTTATCACATTGGTCCAAGCTGACTTGAAAATCATTATCTAGAGCAGAATATTGGTGAAATAAATTAAAATGTTTCACGCAATAAAGTACAAACCAAAAGCATATCACTACCAAATACCTTTCAGAGAAATGCCAGTTTCTGACATTTCATTCGGCAAGGATGATTCTGAAGTTTTTTTCCAGCATTCATTAAGCCATTCGTTGAACATTGTGTTTTTGGTTGCTTGCTTCCATGTGTCCATCATTTTATTTTGCTCATCCTGAGTAAGGGCTGAAGTTACCCATGGCAGCATCGACTGAAGCACTTCAGCACCTGTGGTTCCAATTATGCGGCCAACTAGTTTGTCTTGCTCCTCCACAGAGAAATATCTACCAAATAATGGCCAAAGCTCAAGTTCTTCCCTGAAAATATGATGATCCAGGGTAACTCTGATGGATTTGCACATCCCCTGAAGCTTAGTAGCCAGCTCATTATATTTTCTCAGAAAATCACCATAGTAGGCACCAGAAAGTTCAGTGATAGTACCAGTTAAATTTTCAGGCATATTACCTCTGATAAAGCTTTCATGAAGGTGTGAAAGTTCAGAAAGAACAGTGTTAATGTCTTCAAATAATTTTTCCTCCTGCTTATGATCTAGCGTATATGAGTGACTGACATTATGAAGTGTCTCTTTAGACTCCAATGCTGGGAAAACAATATCATCCTCAGCATTACTATGAGCTCTGTATAAACCCCATAATAGATGAAATCTTCCAATAAACTGCCGAAGGAATGTCTCATCACAATCACTGAGCTTTCCAGATTCAACATCCAGATATTCCAAGTCTTTGCTGATGGCTTTATGAAATTTGAATATAGTATCAATTGGTCGTTCAGCTGAGCCAATGTCAGACAAGTTATTATCTGCTTCCCAGACAAAAAGACTGGAATTAAGAGATGGAGCAGAGGAGCTAAAAGACAAAGATCTCAGAGACTTGACTGTTGAAAGAGAACTCAACCCCAGATTATTACTATTTACTCCTAAACCAGGAACACAGCAAGACATTTCACTACAAGATGGCTTATGGGAACTGACAGTAACTAACTGGTCAGAGGCATTGCCATTTTTGCATGAAACAGAAACATTTCTTTTGACTAGCCTTTTAACTTCACCTCCATGAATTGATAAACAGGTTTCATTCATGCACAAGGAAGAAGTGCATGCGCAACATGATTGACCAAAATCGTTTTCAATGTCAGTGAACCTTTTAACACAGCAACCATTTCCATTTGGAGACAAACACATGCCTTGGTTACGACCCTTGCAAGCCCAACCAGAAAAAAGTGTCATCAGAGCAGTATCTGTTGCTGGAGCTGAATTGAAGAAGTATAATTGAGTTAGAAATGGTCCATTGAGCAGTAAAAGTTTTATTTGTATTATCCATGAATTGACTTTGTATTATCCATGAATTGACTAACTGACTATAAAGGGAATGGATATATAGACCTGCCAACTTCATGTTCTTCAGGAAATTCCGGGCTTCATTGTCAGTTAATGACCCAACCAGCCACGGCAAGACACACTCAATCAATCTCAAGGGCATCACACACAAGCTTTGATACAAAAGTTCACGTTGCCTTTTGAAGCTAAAGTTCTTTCGCACAATTGGAAGAACCTTGAAATCAACAAGAACTTAGTAGAAACATTCACATATTAAAGAAGCATGTTCAGTAGCATGGGTTTCTAGTCATGCACAAAATGATTAATCAAACACAGCAAGCTTTAGTTCCTGTCTTCTATAATTAAATGGACCATAGGATATTAAATCATTTATTAACATCGTAGAGCACTTTCACATATTATCATAGGACCCAACAGCCTCTCCCTCTTCCCTGCTCCCCTCTTTCCCCACGTAATGTGTATGTATACATGAATGTTGGAACATACATATATACTTATGTACAACTGGGTCAGTTCAAGAATACAAAACTTCATGTCTAAATTATAGGACCTACCAAACATCCCTGAGAAGAAAGCTCACCTGAACTTCCTCATTGTGGAAATGTGTCCTTATAGTTTCCATTATTTGATCAGCATGCTCACATAACTTGGAATAAAATTCAGCAGCTGAAGAAGAAACTGCTCCTGCATTTTGAATACTTCCAATCAAACACCTAAAGTCATTGAATTGGCTTTCTTCTTCAGCATGCTCCTGGGAGAAAGACAGTTCTCCATCAACTGCAGGGAATATTACCTTGTCCTCTGCAATACTGCATAACAGAAGCAATGCCAATAATCAGTTTTCCTGCTTAAAATATAAACACAATAATATACAGCAAAACTAGGGACTTTTCAGAACCAGAAGGTCATGACGTCAAACATACACACAAGCTCTGCATCAATTGAATATTTCAAAATTCATTAGCAAGCTTCTTGTATGATCAACAGCCATAATTCAGAAAGAGCAATAGGGCATAGACAAAATTCTTTGTTTTATTTGGTCCACCCTTATTCATGAATCATGAAAAATAGAAACAGAGACAAAGAGAAAACTTGACAAACAGATTTTGGTGATTCAAAGTGCTAACAGTGAGATTAGAAACAGTATGAATGGTGCCATAGCTTATAGGTTTCTCTTCAAGATTTTTTCTGTGGAGATGATTAAAAAAAAAGAAAAACATAAATGGTCCCACCATGCCCTGGCAAGATTTTTTTTTTTTTTTTCTTTTGAGATGGGGCTGAAGCAAGGCAGGGAGGGTTTTTTCAATAAAAATTTGGACCGGCAAGGGGAACAGCTTTAGATTGCTCTGCCCTGCGAATATATACAACTGATATTCAAATTAATCTTTATTTAATTTTATACAATATAATATTAATGAATACTGATATGAGAAATTATTTTGATAATAAAATTTATATTTAAAATGTCATTTTTAATATATATGGTATTACAAAGAAATATATATTAAATAAAAGGAAATAATAATTTTCAAGGCACCATGGGCTGGATGCTTGTGATAACTTCTCAAGGGCAAAGGTGGTGAATTTTAGATCCATTAGATTATTAAGGTAGACTTTATAAGAGAAGAAAAACTATAAAACAACAAAAGAGAAATACCTGTGAAAGATGCAAACCTCAGCAATAAATTGCAACCGTTCGTTAAAGACTGATAGATTACTGAAGTCCCCAGAAAATTGAATCTTCCTAGCCTCCTCAGCTATCTCATTCAACTCTCTTTTAATAGCATTATGCCAAAGCAATATTTCATTCATAGGATGTGTGCCATCCGTCTCTGAAACATTACTGCCAGGCTCCAAATATTTTCTTTTCCCATTCTTGGATAACTCATAAGAACATGTTATGCTGTCCAATGGCTGACTAATGCCATCAGTAGAATCTAGATGACATTTTCCTAATATGTCAGCACCATTTCTCCCTTCCATCCAGGTGAAGATAACCTTCAAAAGTAAAAGAAGTAATCAGTTACAAGCACACAACAAAACAGTACACAATAAAACTAAGGGCTGAATGACAATAGAAATCTTGCCTGCTGCAGAAGCTTTTCCTCTGGAACTATCTTGCTTAAGCATTTCTGCATGTCCTGATGTTCATCGGGAGAGAAAAAAGATGAAAGCCATGGAAGGAACTCTGCCATCATATTCACCGGAAGGCTGCATAAAAACTGCCAGACTAGAGATGCTTGCTCTTCAAGTGAGAACTTTTCGATAAGCAAAGGAAAAACCTGTCATATTCAAAGAGAATACCATGTAATCAAAAAATACAGCCTTACTTTAGCACGTGTGATCTTCAGGATTGATGGATTAAAGCATTGAAGAGAGAAGACCACTAAGTCATGTTAACTAAATTAGCTTTAGATAACAAAGGAATGGCTGTTGGCATGGATTTGGATTTGTTCAATTATTCATGTGTTATGAAGCAAAAAGAAAAATATCTAAATTATAATCACAAATTGGCATCTTCTTCGCATAGCTTGAGAAATTTAACATGTCAAAACAATAGTGCAGCTGCACATGTAGTAAGTTCCCGATAAATCGAAGTTAGATACAGTAAAGGTACAATGCTGAATAATTGTTCAAGTAAAAAATAGATCTCCTACAATAATTTCTTTGTCCTTCTATTTCCCTTCTCATCTCCAGTCAATTCCCCTGATTCCTTTAGAGAATTCAACCATATTTCTGTTCTGATCAATTTCAAGAAATAATGTTTTTATTTCTTCTTTGCAGATCATACATACAAGAGTTTTGTAGGTTTTTCAGAGCAGTGTCTTCAGTGAAAACTATCTTACACAGCTGCCATCATCAGTAAACTCCAACTTGAATACTGCACATTTGTCTCCCAACACACATCAAAGAACCAGGAGAAAGGCAAAGGAAAAGGTTTAATTTCTTCATAAAATTAAGGCAGTCCATTATCTCTAATCATTAAAGTGATCAAACATCCCTGCTCAGGCTCTTCACCTTTTCCTAGTGTATCCTTGTTAGACACATAGGCATCTTAAAAAGGATAATGTATGAGGATGCAACTCTCCAATTGCATGGAAAAAGTTATGAAGGATTAAACATATTTGTGTCAAACACATATCCATAACCAAAATTTATTCTTGAGTCGGAGCAACATTAGCCTCATCCTTTTTTTTTCAATATATATTACCATGCACATGTATGAGGATACATATATGAGCATGCAACTCTCCAATTACATGGAAAAAGTTATGAAGGATTAAACATCTTTGTGTCAGACCCATATCCATAACCAAAATTTGTACCCGAATCCGAGCAATATAGGTCTCATCCTTATAAAACAAATACAGCCTAACTAACTAGCATGAAATTTTTGGACATCTAAGGATATATATGCCATAGATCCAGCAATCAAGGAAGACCAACAATAAAACAATTTATTCATTTAATATTATGTGGATTCTTTACATATATAAGAAATGCATCTCTCAATAAATTTCTCAAATCTAGCCTCAAATTATGAATAATTTGAAAAACATCAATAAAACATGGCAAACAAAACTTAGAGATAATTAAATGCAGTAAAATATCAAGTGGAAAGCAGAAATTGAGAGAAAGAAAAATATTGCTTATAAGAAAAGAACATTCACACCACGATACAAAGAAAACTGCATCACTTCACAGGAAATAAATGAAATGTTTGAGAATATGTGTGAAAACTTTGTATTGGGCACTCTATTCAGTCTGTCAATTAAATGAGGCTAACTTAATAGGTTAAGAACAACTATGGCTAACATAGTTTCTATGAAATTGAAGCAAATGAAAAGCAGTTTTCAGGCACGAAAGAAAGGCCTGGATCTTTTTTCTTAGTTATATTTGGGATGCCCAGAAAATATCAAAGACTTTGTTCAGTATATTGTCTAAATTCTGACATAGGAAAGAAACAGTAAAGGAGCTCATACCTGCTCCTCTTCTTTGGCCATATGCTGGCTAATTGATGTCTGAAGAGCCCCTGTACAAGCAGCTAACTCCCTTGGGAAGCTTTCATCATCTTCCATATAAGAATTTAAAAGCTTAAATAGATGATCAAAAAGATTGCTTTCACCCTTGTGTTCAAGTGAGTATGTTTTTGCCACATTTTTTACACGTATGTCTAGAGCTGGAAAAATTACCTGCATTTCAAATCATGATGCTGTCAGAAATTCTGGTATGGTAGAACAATTAGAAACAGAGATATGTAACTAAAGACAGCTGCCAGGAATCAAAATTGAAATCTTAGAAATCCAGCTGACAGATGGTGGTATTAAGCAATTGTGTCCATGCATGTTGTTTGCTAACATCATGCAAGCATCTTGCCACTTTTCTCAAAAACACAATGCAAGCAGCAGTTACCAAAATATTAAGTTTCAAAGATTTTTCAAGTTCAGAAATTTTTAGTTGCCACCCACCAAGGAAAAAAAACAAAGGAACAATCAAATTTCAGATAAACCAGATATTAATAATTTCTTCTTTTCAGTAATAGGTGCACACTCTTCTAACGATAATGTCTACATTAGTTAAAACCATACAAAAAATTTGCTAAAAGAAATAAACCATTGATGGAGAAACAAAAAGTAATTAATCGCTACAACCAAACATCTTAACAATGCAGGAAATTTAAAATAAAAGATGTGTTTGCCTCTAACTTACAACATGAGTAATAATCCAAATTGCAATGCCCATCTAGAAGCAAAAGAGGCAATTGCAACTTGTTTTGCAAATAAAAATGAATATTTACAAACTCCCCTCTGTTTGATTCAGAGCATCCTATAATGGAACATTTTGCACATACTCACTTCAATATATCACCATAATTTCAACAAAACTATGTTTTCAGTTTTTGAAAAATAAAATTTCAACATTCTTCACCAAAGTTATTAAAATTTAAACCAAAAAAAAAAAAAAATGGAATTATGCATAATTTGTAGAAAAATGTGTAAAAAAGTATTTCACTAAATTTTTTCCATTCATTTATCTACGGGGACACTCTTCTGAAGTGAATCAGAAGCACTTGTTAGGAAGTTAGGGAAATATTCAGGAAAATGAATAGTAAAAAAAATCAAAATTCCATAAGAATAAATAAGCTTGCAAAAACAACTACCAACCGACAGTCAAAATGCATATAAATAAAACACAACTGATCATAAATCAAAGTATAATCTTTTTTCCTTTTTCATTTCCAAAAGCGAAAAGGAGAAAAAAAATTCATGATTCCTATCAATAAGGTCTGAGGCAAAGGCTATGTGGTACTCACCTATCAGAAAAGAGGAAAAGAAAGAATTGCTGAAAGAAAAAAGAAAGACTGAAATGCCATCAAAGCGCTCCAATTCGAAACCAAAAAAAAAAAAAAAAAATCAACTAATCAAAATTAAAAGATCAATTTGTTCCTAATTGCCACTACCCAAGCAAACTACAAATTAACTCAGAAACATTAAAAGAAAAGAAAATAAAACAGCTTAAAAGGAAACTGTATACAAACAGGCAGTCGTGCAAAAACATACTTAGGCACGTAGAAACGGAAATTTGAAGGATTAAAAACACCATTCAAATTTCAGCAAATTAAAAAAAAAATCAAATTGTTCAAAATTATAAAACTCTCTCGAAGAAACAACCAAAGCATTCGAAAATTGTAACAAAATGAAGAGAAAAAAAAGAGTACCTCATCTTCGGCAACGGAGTGGTGCTTATAAATCGATCTGAGGAAACCGTACCGTTGAAACAGCGATTGAATATCGACACTGTTTCCCGTAGCAAACGCCAAAGCCAATTGGTGAAGCGCGTCCAACTCATTCCGCACCGCCTTATGGAACAACAAGAATATCAAAATCGGAGACTTCTCTTCACGCTCCTCTGAAAAGCCTCCAAACGGCGGCGGGTTCACCGTTCTAGTCGACGCCACCACAGCCTCCTCTCTATGCTGCAATTCCGGTAAAGGAATCGCCATTTCAAAACTGTCTGCTCCTTTGACTTTATCCTTTCTTCTTCTCCGTTTTACTAATTCTCTTCGCTTTTGGTTTCCTCCTTTTTGTTTATGTTTGCCTTCTTTGTATTATACTATACGTTTTGGCGTTTTGTTCTGTTTGGTTGAGATGTTCCACGGAAGAGAAAGGGGAAGCGAAGGGAAGGCCTCAGGCCTGAGGCTGGCTGGGCGTTGCATGTTTATGTCCGGCGTGGGATAAGAATGTGAGGGAATGTGGGAAAGGTTTTATACTCTCGTAGGTACCACGTGGCGATCATTGCCACGCTGGATGCTGATGTATGTCTTTTCCTCTGTCACGCGAGTTTTTCCGCGTGGGATGGTGAGTGGCCGAAGAAAAGACTTAGGCAATTTAATATCGGTATTAGAGTTAATTATATTTTTAGTACTCTAATTTTTAAAAATGTATATATTGGTACCTAAAAAAACCAAATATATTCTTTACATTATGAATTTTTAAATAATATATCGTTTTAATTTAAATTTTAATATTATCAATTTAACTTGTTTACATGATATTTAATTATATAATTTTGTTATAAGAATATTATTTTTTAAATAAAAATATTAAATATTTTATAAAAACTTTTTTGTAAATATCATATGATAAAAAATAATTGATTGACTTTAGATAATTTTTACAATTTAGCGAAAAATATATACATAGTTTTAATTTATATTAAAAAAATTAATAATATGTGAGATAAACATAAAACTTAATAATATTTATTAAACACCATATATATATAGATTAATATAATTAAAAAATTAAAATTTAGATTAATATAGTACATAATTTAAAATTTCATGGTATAAATTATACATTATTTAAAATTTGAGATGGAAATTATATATTTTATTTTTTAAAACTAATTTATAAATTTTTCTAAAATTTAAGTACTAAAACTATAATTAACTCTTATTTTTTCTATTTTTCTTTGCTTTGAAAGCAAAAAGTTTGTCTTCTTGTGTGAGATCCCTTACAGAGGATAAGGTAAGGGGTGAAAAGTAGAAAAATATTCTTCCAAAGTGTAAAGATGTGGAATCAAGTTTTCCAAAAGAATAAAAAAAACAATTTAATTTCAATAGTAGTCCAGATTCATTTAGAATTAGGACGTGCAAGTGGTTTGATTTTTTAAAAAATATTTTAATTTAAATTCGAGTTTTCATTGAAAAAATTAAATTTAATCCAAATTATTTAAAATCAATTTTGTTTTTTCATAGCATTCATGATCACGTGCATTACACGGAAATATTGTCCAAGCAATTGATGTCATGTATTGAAACTGAATAATCTATCAAGCTATTTGAGGTTTTTATCAAAATTATATATTTTTTATTTATCTATCTATTTATAGATTATAACATATAATATATATATATAAGTACGAATATATAAATTTTTTAATTATTCAAATTGAAATTTAATGCCATTTAGAAATTAAAATAGAAAAAGGAAAGAAGAAAATTTAAAATTACGAAATTTTGAATTAATCAAACGATTAAATTTTATAGTTGTCAATTCACAATTTGGCATTTAAAAGATGTATTTTTATCTTAAATGGTATTTTGGAAAATACCATTTAAGATAAAAATGGTATTTTGGAAATTAAGTCCTAATTAAAATTACCTATTGAGTTCAAACATTTATTAGAATTTACACCTTCGAAACTTATAATTAATTGTCCATCATAAAAATGGTGATGTCGTATTTTTTATCTATATTTTTGAAAATATTGTTGATGAATTTTAAAATTCGATGAGAGTGAAACTAGTTAAAGGTTGAATTGGTGAATTTATTAAAAAAAATTTAAAGAGCATTAGAGTTAGTATTTCAAATCGCGTTTCGACTCTCTCGAGTCAATGAAATATTTGAGAAAGAGAGAGAAAAAATGTGAGAAAAGAGAGAGCAAATAAGAGTAGGTAATGTAGAGAAATGAGTGCATGTTAGATCATGTTCTCCTTGATGGGATAGATGGCTGTTTGTCTTGAGGTCATATTTGGGTGTTGATGATATAACAGTCAAAATGCTTATGATGTCGCAATTAAGGAGTAACAATTGTAATCATCTTTCTCATTCGATTGGCATTTTTATTTTTTTTAAAAATAAATATTTTTTTAAATTGAAATATTGTTTGTAATACTTATCAAAAACTATAATAATTTCAATGTATAATTATCTATACATACAAGAGGAAAAATGGTTGGAAGTTATGTATTCTTATTCTAGCAAGAAAAGTCTGAAAAAGATATTGTTTGAAAAATAAGTTTGAATAAAATAGTTTTTGAAAAAGATATATAAAATATTATTATCTGCAGTTAATATTTAATGGAGTAAATTTGAAAAATAGAATTTTGACAATGAAGGAGCCCATTTTAGTTTTTGTTTTTCTTTGGAGAATAGTAATCTAAAACTCGCTCATTGGCTGTGATGTAGTTGAATATTATTACTTTAGAATTATTTGCCATTGACATATCTTATTTAAGAATATTATAGATTTTGGATTAATATCATCATTCTTGACATAACCAAATATATAACATTTAAGACGACGGAAGTGAATTATTATGTAATCCATCAACATTTAGAATATAATACGAAAGCACTCATTTAATTTAAATTAACAATTTTTTTATGATTTTATTGTTATCTTTTTTCTTTCTATTTTACATACATAACACAAGCAAAGAAAAATAACTTCCTTTTTTTTTTCTATTTTTTTTCTTTCCTTATCTTTTTCTTTTTTTTCTTTTTCCTTTCATTGCTACCAAAGGTAGTGATAAGATTTTAAATTCGAAGACAGCGAAAAGTTGCTTATCATGTAGCCTAAACTTGTACTAAAAAAATGTAGTTTTTATTGTGTAACATTTAGATTTTAAAATAAATTGAATTTAATTCTATACATGTTTTTGGTTTATTCAACACAAATATCAATTATTATTATTATTATTATCTATAAGATATATAAAAGTGATCCTTTAATATGATTTGAGATGACACATAAGCAATGTCAATAAAATCAATTAAAGGATAATTTTGGGAAAGAAACTTTTCCAAAAGTCTCTACAAAAGCTTAAGGGAGAAACTTCATTTTTTCCAAAAGTGTGAAACACAAGGTCAATGGTGAGATTTCTTGATCATGTCGAATGGAGAGCCATGGGATGTTTTTTCGGATGCTTTTGTATAAAAGATGATAACTCCCGCCCTCACATCATCTTCTCTTTTTCCAAATCCACTATACATTTTTCATTTTTTTTTCAATTTTCTCTTTCCTTGGTTTGGTTCTTGAGAAAATTCAATTCAAGAAATGTTTTCTTTCCCAGTTGTTTATGCCTAGCTTCAACGTAAGGGTATTCCTTAAATGGTAAAAAACTAGAAAATAGTGATTACATACAAAGATATGGAATGTTCTTTGTGTTTGCACTTCGATGCACCAATTAAAGATCAAGATAAAAAAAGCTGAAATGAGATAAAAGTAAGGGATCAAAACAAGATGAAACCTAGGATTATAATGCTTGGATGCCTATATTTATATATGAGAGGTAGGGAGCTAATAAAGAACAATAATGACATGGTTGAGCTAATGTGGCACTGAGTATGTCAAACCGGCTGGCATGTTAGGTAGGCACAAATGTCTGAAATACCTCTGACTGTCTGCCAGGAGCCCTAATAAAAAAAAAAAATGATTATACCCTTTGGATCACTAAACACCCCCAACATTCTATCCCCTAACCAAACAATCTGAGTATCAGACTATTGGGTGTTCAATTAGTTCATTTCATACAGGTCGACCAACTTAAAAGAGACCACATGGTATCTGATCTCCTATAGTCAAGGTCGACATGGAGGTCAAGATCAAAAGACAATTTGCCTTTTATTATGACCCAAGGTGTTATGGTATGAGCCAACCTGGTGTGAGTCTAATCTTGTACATGTGCTTTAGATTTAGTTCATGGTTGATTTGAAAGTAGCCTAAGTGTCATTTATTTGAATGATTCAAGATTAGGATGGGAGTTCATTTGGTCAATATAGGACTTAAATGGTTTTTTTAGAAGCTTGAATTTGAATCCTTATTTTGAATTCTGGTGATAAACTGACCATTAGTTCACCGAAATGGTTTGGCCTAGAAAACCGTTTGGTTTGGCCTAGTCGAGCGATTGAGGTCGTATTAAATGAAGAGAGAGATAGTTTGAATGATAAAACTCAAAGTGAGAAAAATGAAAAGATGTCTTCCAACGATGCTTTAGGCCATCTGTTTGACTTGAGACATGGCTATATAAAGGGTTGTTGGAGCCTTCATTTTCCACCTTCTACGTTCTTGCTCTCCATCCGATTTAAATTTTTTAACCTCAAAAGACTTTCTTCTTTTCAACCTTACTGTTCTCTTTCTTTCATCCGTTCTTTCCATTTTCTTCAATACATTCTCTCTTCATTGTCATAACGTCTAGATCCAGGGATCTATTGCTAGACATTGACTTAAGGAGTCACCACCAATCTTTTTTATCTAGGTGTGATTGGCCACATCAGGAATCTATCCTTTTCAGGGAACATTGAAGTTTAAGGGTTCTTAAAAGAATAGGTTCAGGTCTACTAATCAGAACAGGGTTCGGGAGTTCGATTAGGTGTGAAGAAGGTTATAGCACCCTCACATCACCATCGAAAGATGGTACCAGCTTAATTTTGTGTTATCCAATAAGCCTTAAAAATTTATCAAGTAATTAATTATTTAAAATTATTCTCAATTAACTCTAATACTTTTAGCAAAAAATTGAAAAAATTCTCTCACCTCAAGAGTATGCAAGAAAACTATTGTTTCACTTGCAGAGGCTCCATCGTCGGATTATTTAACATTAAAGAAAATCCAAAAAAATAAAACAAGAAAAGAAAAAAAATGATTGCTTTTGTACAGGAAAAATTTATACTTTCAACTTTCTCCCAAAATATGTTTTTAGAAACTTATTTTTAAGGAAAATTGATACTTTCAACTTTTTCTCAAAAATATTTTTTAGAAAACTTGTTTTCAAGGAAAATTAATACTTTCAACTTTTTTCCAAAATATTTTTAGAAACTTATTTTTAAGAAAAATTAATACTTTCAACTTTTCCTCAAAAATATTTTTTTTGAAAAACTTATTTTCAAGGAAAATTGATACTTTCAACTTTTTCTCAAAAATAATTTTTAGAAAACTTATTTTTAAGAAAAATTGATACTTTCAACTTTTTCCTAAAATATTTTTAGAAACTTATTTTTAAGAAAAATTGATACTTTCAACTTT